AAAAAAAAATGTATGAAAGAAATAAATGGGAATGCATAGAAATCACAGTTGACGTGCTTGAAAAGTTTTATTGTTTTCGTCACTCGCCATTCGTAGTTGAAAGTTACTTCGAAATTCAAAACTTTTTGCACATGTGAGTAAAGCGCATATTATGTGCTTCACTGGGTGTAAAAATAAGTATGTCAGCCACATGCACCATTCATGGTTTATAGCATTTATGGTTCTTGTGGCTTGTCCTTCTGCCTTATTACTCACACTCTCCATAAAAAAAGGATTTTTTTCTTTAAAATCTTTTCATCCTTAAAGTTTCTTATTTCTTATTTAAAAAAAAAAGGAATTTTATATAATATATCAAATATGTTAATATATATTAGCATCCCATTTAAGTATGTAAGTACACATATAAATAACTCAACGCCATTAGAAAATGCATTTTATCCAAAATATGTGCCAAGTACTGAAAATTGCTGAATGCAACAAAAGAAAAATTACTTTGGAAAAAAACGTGATTTATGGGAATTGCCAAATCCTTACAATTTCACAGCTTAAAAGTGCATTTTTTAACATTAATTTTTTTAGACTTTTTTCTTTGTTTATTTAAAAGAAAATAATTAAAACTGCTTAACACTGAATTAATCAATCACATGCAAGTGTTTCGTGTGCTCACCTGATCCGCTCCTGAAATGAGGCATGAACTAAGAGCGGCCTTTATTAGATTTTAATTAAATTTATGCGCTTCATTAACGGCAACAGTCACACATTGCACACAACGACACACAACACCACACAAATATATACAACCGTAAAGCAACCGACATTTTCGCATTTATAAGCACCTCAAATGCACACACACACACACACACAAAGAAACCCTTGCAATTGCAAGGCACACGAGTTGCTGATGTGCTGTTAACACGTGTGAGAATAAAATCCTTTCGTTAGCTGTAACTGTGTGTGTGTGTGTGTATGTGTGTGTTTGTGAGAAAGGGAAATAATTGCAGAACACCTTTTTAAATTATGCAGCGTGAAAATGTATGCAAATACGCTCGGCTCACTTACGTGACTACAACGTATTTATGTAAAGCCATACTTGTGTATCCTTGCATTTATTTATGTGTAAGTGTGTATTGCATATTTGAAGGAGTATTCACGTTTAACTTCTTTATGTTCTCATATTTTGCGGTAGCTTTTATGCTCACATAAAGCTATTTTCATTCACATATTCACTTTTTTTCATTTTTGTTTTTTTTATTCTATTGCGAAATTTTTCAAAAGTTTTCTGGAACACCACAGAATTTTAACACTACCATTGTTAAGTAATTTAATCCTCAACGACTATAAAAAATATATGCGAATAAATATATACATTGTGATCAAAAAAGCACGAGAATTTTTGAATTCCCGCGCTTATCCAATCGGCAAATTTTTTTTATTTTCATGCTGGCAACACTATTATAATAAATATCATAATATTATAATAAAAAAAATTATTAAAAATTAAAATTTTACGTTTTTTTTTGAAATTCTCGTTCTTTTTTAATCATAAGGTATATATGGATATATATACATGTATTTATACATGTATATCCTTTAACTATAAGTTCACACATAAATAATTGTTAATATTTTATACGACAATAAATTACAGACACAAATAAAGAGAATTTAATGTTAATTATTGTTAATACATAACTTCTTAAATGATATCGGTTGTTATTACTACAAGATATAGAAGTACACTGCGAAATATAAGATCTAATTTTTATTTCCTGAAGAGAGTGTTCTACTTTAATGTGGACATATAACGACTATTGGTAAAGATTGACAATGCCTTTTAATACATGCACCAAGACTTAAACTAAAACTCTACACTCCACAGAATCTACTGGTAACGGTGTACTTTAATCACACCCGTTTCCAGAAACACATTTTTGTACGGTTGTTAATTCATTTCAAATAATTTTGGTCATTAAAAATTTAATTTTATTTAACAGTTATGATTCAATCGTTTTTTTTTTTTGTCTTCTCGTCATTTTCAAAAATTTGCACCCAAATGTCAGTCTTGAAGTTGATATCAGTCTTGGAAACCCAACAGGGTCTCCTTCTTCACAGGACTCATATCCAGTACACGTTGGGTGTAGTCGAAATTTTTTATATCTCTTGACGGTTCTACGTGATTTTGCCAATCGTTTTTTTTTGTCTTCCCGCCATCTTCAAAAATTTGCACCCAAATATCAGTCTTGAAGTTGAGATCAGTCTTGGAAACCCAACAGGGTCTCCTTCTTTCCAGGTCTCATATCCAGTACACGTTGGGTGTATTAAGAACGTCGACTATGTCGTTCTTAATATATGTCTAAGCTATTTTAGTTAGCGACACCAGATTTCGCAAAATTTCTTCTCTAAACCTTCAAAATTTTAGTTTTGAAATTGAGATCAGTTTTGAAAACCCAGTTGGTTTTCTTTCTTCACAGGTTTCACATCTAGTACGCTTTGAAGAATTCTCTGCTGTATCTTTCTTAATATTTGTCTAAACTATTTTAGTTAGCGGTATTCGACTTCCTGTCACACCTTCAAAGATTAAAGAAGAAAAACATTTAAACAAAATAAACAGATTAATAATGCATTTAAGTTAAAAGTTTAAAGCATTTCAAGTATATCAATTCATTAAAACGCATTTAAAAAAAAAGAAGAAAATAAATTAAAATTAATTCACGCTAAAAAAACTGAATATTTCCTCTTTTAAGCCTTTTAATGCTTCAATTTTATTTACTTTTGAGTGTCACACTTACTCGTAGCATTGCTAACAACAAAAAATCACGTTCCTTTGTGGTTAAACATTTATGTGTAAATTTACTCGGCATTATATTTTACCCAAGAGAC